AGACCTATTTCTCTTAAGAACATAGATGCAAAAATACTCAATAAAATACAGGGAAACAGAATCAAAGAATACATCAGAAAGATCATCCACCATGATCAAGTAGATCAGAGATGCAGAGATGTTTCATCATATGAAAATCTAGCAATGTAATTCACCATATAAACAAACTGAAGGACAAAAACACTACAATATCATCTCATTAGATGTAGAAAAGGAGTGTAACAAAATCAAACACCCAATCATGATAAAAGTCTTGGAAAGATCAGGGATACAAGGAATATATCTAAACATAATAAAAGCAATTTAGAGCAACCTGATAGCCAACATTGAATTATGTAGAGAGAAACTCAAAGCAGTAATTCCTCTAAAATTGGGACAAAGACAATACTGCCCACTCTCTCCATATCTATTCAATATAGTACTTGTAATTATAGCTAGAGCAATAAGATAACTAAAGGAGATCAAGGAGATACAAATTGATGTCACTGCCTGGAGGGCCAGCCTCCAGCAGCACCCAAGGTATGCAAAAAAAATCCATGAATGTGCAAGGACTAGACTTTATCTATCTGAGGAGTAAGGAAGAAAAGAAACACACTTTCTTATGGTAACTTTCTCTTTGAAAAATCTTGACCAAAAAAAAAAATTGATGCCAGGTGGTGGCGGCACATGCCTTTAATCCCAGCACTCTGGAGGCAGAGCCAGACAGATCTCTGTGAGTTCGAGGTCAGCCTGATCTACAGAACAAGATCCAGGACAGGTGCCAAAACTATACAGAGAAACTCTGTCTCGAAAAAAAGAAAGAAAGAAAGAAAGAAAGAAAGAGAGAGAGAGAGAAAAGAAAGAGAGAAAGTGAGAGAGAAAGAAAGAAAGAAGAAAAGAAAGAAAGAAAGAAAGAAAGAAAGAAAGAAAGAAAGAAAGAAAGAAAGAAAGAAAGAAAGAAAGAAAGAAAGAAAAAATCTCTGTTTCCACACAACTACATCTCTCCCCTTCACAGCCCTCTTACACAACTCTCTCTACACAGCTCTCTCACAGAAAAAACTCTGTACAAATACATGAGTTACATTTTGAGGGTCACATAACATTTCTTGAGTAAACAATTATAAACTGAACCATTCTGATAACATATGAGAAATCACACGGTTTCTCTCAGACTTGGGATGTCACATTAACTGGCCAGTGAGTGACCATGGCAATGATTGGCTGTCAGCTAAGTT